CAGCCCCACCACGGACATCACGTGGCCAGAAGGCGGGTGACGCTGTGGCCCCCGGGGTGGACAGATGGGACAGAGGCCCACACACGCTCCGTATACCACCCCGAGGGGTCACTGACACCCACGGGACGACCTCGGGGGGGGGCACGAATGTGACGTGGCCAGGACCACCCACGGGTCCAGAGCTGTCAGAACGCACGGGAGCCGGAGCGGGCGTCCCCTGAGCACGTGGCCAGGGCGGCACCGGCGGAGCCCGCCCGCCACCGCACCCACCCGCACGCGAAGGGGCTCCTGCCTCCAGGGCCCGCAGGCGGCTGTACCTGCAGCACGTTGACCAGGATCATGGAGTTGGTCACGTGGCCGTGCAGCTCCCGCTGCTTGGCGGCGAAGGACAGGTTGATGAGGGTCCAGGCCACGATGCCCGGGCGCCCGTTGAAGAAGAGCTTGAAGTCGAACCACCTCCCGACGCGGGGGTTGAACTCGATGCCCATCATGTAGTTGTAGAAGAAGTTGCCCGTGAACTTGCTGGAAACATGAGCGGACGCCGTCGGTCCAGGACCGGGCACACGCTCAGCCCACCGTGGTGCTGCGGGCAGGGATGGGCGGAGGCGGCACAGCCATGGAGGACATGCAGCAGCGCCCTTCCCACTCCCCGCTTCCCCAGCCGTCCCTGCAGCCGAGCCCGGAGCCTCAGGCCGCACCAGGCGGCCCCGAGGCCGGGGACACGGGGCAGGCGCCGGCTCAGGGTTCCTGGGCTGCAGCCAGTGTCCCGCCTCCTCCCAGGGCCCTGAGGCCAGCACAGGGGAGAGGGAGACGCTCAGATGGACTGGAGCTGTGCCCCAGCCACGGCCACGCGGACCTCAGGTGCTGAGACCTGCAGTGAAAAAGACACCCACCCCAGCGGGTGCAGGCTCCGCCCATGCGTCCCCTCACCGACCAGCTTCCTAACCGACAGCTGCCCGGGTCACCTGACCCCACGGGCCTGTCCAGGGGCGACCAGAGACTGGCCAGACCGGCGGGTGGCGACCGTGAGGTACACGCACCTCACCGTGCACACGGGGCCGCTGTGCCGAGGACACCGCGTCCTGTCGTCGCCCTCGGATAGGGGCACAGGAAATGTGCCGAGCCTGCGGCAGGGCCGTGGCCAAGGAGCTGCCTCACCAGCGGACACCGCCCTGGGCACCGCCGGCGGACGTCGCCCCAGAGCCCAAGGAGGGAACACTTGGGTTTTGTTTGGGCCCAGACTAAAGCGTAAGCACCCCCCACCTCCAGCAAGGATCCTATTCCTGCCTGAAGCCCGGCTGCCTACCTGTCTACAGAGACCCCGACAGACATCTGCTGTGAAGGAGTGGAGGGAAGAGGGCCAAGGGAAGAAGGAAGGATGGAAATGGGAGGAGGGCTGGTGCACGGTGGATGGATGGAGAAAAGGATGGATGCTGATGGACAGATGGATAGATGGATGGATGGATGGAGAGATGGGCAGATAGATGATGGATGGGTGAAGAGATGGGTAGAGAGATGGGTGGATGGATGATGGATGGAGAGACGGATGGAGAGATGGATGGATGGTGGAGAGATGGATGGAGAGATGGGTGGATGGATGGAGAGACGGATGGAGAGATGGGTGGATGGATGATGGATGGAGAGACGGATGGAGAGATGGGTGGATGGATGATGGATGGAGAGACGGATGGAGAGATGGGTGGATGGATGGAGAGACGGATGGAGAGATGGGTGGATGGATGATGGATGGAGAGACGGATGGAGAGATGGGTGGATGGATGATGAATGGAGAGACGGATGGAGAGATGGGTGGATGGATGGAGAGACAGATGGAGAGATGGGTGGGTGGAGAGATGGATGGATGGATAGATGGATGGATGGATGGGTAGGTGGAAACTAAAAGGAAGGGCTCTCTGTGGGAAGCTGCTCTCCTAAACCCGCGGAAATGACAAGTCTCCTCACACGACTGCCAGCCACACTGACATTCCGGAGAGAGAGGCAGAGCGCCGTCCTCGCCTGCAGACAAGCCGCCTTCCCACCTGCCTGCTCCCGGGACCCAGCGGCCAGAGGCAGGCCTGGCCTCTCCCCACCCTCCTGCGGGCAGAAGCCCGGGCACGTAGGAAGGCAGCTCCCCCTTCAAGGACTCTAACCCCTGGGCTCCACCAGCCCGTCCCGGGATCGGACAAGGCCACGCAGCACGCGCTCCCCCTCGGCGCTGCCAGCTGCGTGGGGCGGGCGGGCGTACCAGTCGCGGGCGTTGGTGGGGAACAGGTAGCCCTTGACCATGGCGAAGGTGGACACGGCGTAGCCCAGGATGTTGGCACACCACAGCAGCGGGATCCAGTTGTCGAAGATGATGGTGGGCGGGAACCAGGACAGATAGCAGGCGTTGGCGAGCCAGAGCAGGTGGGTGATGATCCAGGCCTGCAGGCCATTGATCTCGTACTTGTTGATGGTCCCTGCGGGCGAGACCGGGCCTCAGAGCGCGCCCCGCATGACGGCAGCCGGCTTCGCTGGAACAAAGGCTGAGCATCATCTTATATAGAAACTGCTGTTGGACATGCTGACCCTGCCGTCTGGCTGCTGTGGATGCGTGCTTGCTTAAACAGTGAGGAAAGTAAGAGTACTCCCACTTCAGAGGCCATTAACCTTCCCCGGAGGAAGTTTCAGTGCTGGCGCCAGGCAGGCCCTTGGTTGAGGTCTCAAGGCCCCAGCACACAGGGGCTCTTTAGGAACTGCACAGGGGCCGGAAACGCCCCGTACTGGGAGACAAAGAAGGTGAAAGCACATAAACAGGGAAAGCTCCTCCATGGTAGGGCCAGAATTTGAGAGACTTTTCCTTTGGGCCCGCACATAACAACAATAATAACAACAATAATAATAAATGTAACTCTATCTCTCTGAGCGTGGCGTGGCTCCTCTCCGGCTTCCGTCACAAAGGCCACGGACGTTGGTTTCTCCTTTTGCTCCAAAGGTGGCCTTACACCTGGCCGGGTGGCTGTGCTTGAATGTCGACCTATGAACCAGGTCAGGATTTGGCTCCCGGTCAGGGCACAGGCCTGGTTGTGGGGGGCGTGCAGGAGGCAGCGGACCAATGATTCTCTCTCAGCACTGACGTTTCTCTCCCTCTCCCTCTCCCTTCTGCTCTGAAGTCAATAAAAAAAAAGATTATTTGTGTGTTTTAAAGTGATGGCGTCCCTGACGCAATCACCAGTGTTTGCAGCCTTGGCTCCTCAGCCACATCGCCCGGCCACTGTGATGCCAGGAGCCGGCCGGCCGGCCAGGAAAGCCACGGGGCGGGCCCTCGTCGGTCAGTCACAGCCAGAGGCTGAGTGACCGGCCTGGGCTGCGGTATCGGGCGGAGAAGCGGGTGGGGACGTCTGTGGGACTCGGGGAATGGCCCTCCCTCTGGACCGTGGGGAACAAATGGACAGCCAGCCTCCCCCAACCCCACCCACATCCCTCTGCCCCCGACACCCGCGGGCACGTGGGCTCTGGGCTGGGAGAGGCTCCATCAGCCTGTATTGGCACGGGCCACGGGCGGCGGCCACTCAGGTCCCTCCACTGAAGGTGACCTTCGGCCTCAGGCCCGGGACGCCCGGCTGCTCTTGGTGCTGGGGATGCTGGGACACCTGCCGCTGTGAGCCTCGGGCGGGAGCAGCAGGGGAGGCCCCTGGGGGGGATGGGGACGGCCGCGCTGAGCCGGCGTTACCTGCGGGAGTCACGGCGCCCTCCTGGACGCCGCCCACGTAGCCGGGCAGGACCTTGTGGCACAGGTCAGGCAGCGCCACGTACAGGAGCACCTGCGGAGAGTCCGCTGAGCGGCTGGGCTCTGCTGGCCGAGCGGCGGATGTGGGGCCCCGCGGGCCGAGGTCCCCACCGGGCGGGCGGCTAGTCCTCCCAGGTCTGCTCCCAGCCGCCCAGCGGCCCTCCCCAGCCTCGGCGGCTCCCACGGTGGGTGGGCGTGCGGGGCACCCTCTGTGTAGGGAGGCGGCAGCTACCCCTGGGCCCCGGGGGCGAGCTGCCAGGGCACACAGCCCCGGGCACCCTGGCAGAGGGCCGCCGGCACACGGCGCACCCGCCCCGCCATGCCCCCGCCCCGCACCGAGGAGGCCCACCTGGAAGGAGACCCACAGGGCATAGATCTGCGCGGCCTCCCCGGTCAGGCCCGGCGTCTTGGCCCAGATGTCGGAGAGGCGCACGTGGCCGGCGGCCAGGTCCCACACGGGCGCGGAGAGCGAGCAGGCGTACTGGTCGCACGCCATGATGAAGAAGTACACGATGAAGGGCGCGAACAGCAGCAGGAACAGGACGCTGGCCAGCGAGAACCAGTCCACCTCCCTGCGGGGGCGAGAGGGGCCGGTCACGGGCCGTCCCCGCCCTCCGGCCACGCCAGCCGGCACTCCGAGAGGCGGCCCTCGACGTGCGCTCCGGCCACGCAGGGAGCACATGGGCGCCCACCCAGGAGAGGTGGCTGCGGGGGACGCACAGACACCCCAATGCCCAGGGCAGCCAGCCGGTGAGTGCGTCTCCCCCTCCTCTGTCCACCCGGCCTCGCTTACAGCCCCCCCCCCGCCTCCATGGGAGACGCTGCGATGGCCCAGGACAGCCCAGGCCAGCCCCTCCCGCCCGCGCTGTCCCCGGCAGGGTCATGCCGGCAGCCTTACCAGGCGCGGCCCCACTGCCCCTGGGCCGCCGCCCCGTTGCCGGCAGCACTGGAGTTGGGGGCGCTGGGCCGGAATCTGGCCGCCATGGTCCTGAGGAGAGAGACACTGCTCAGAGGGTCCCAAAGGCAGACCTCGCCCTGCTGTCAGGACCGGGGCCAGGGCTGCCCCCTTCCTGTCTCTCCTCCGTGTCCTGGCGGCAGAGTCCCCCAGGGAGGCGGCCAGCCCAGCTCAGACGCTCCTGGGACCTGTGCCCCCTGCCCCCCGCCCGCCTCTCCTCCGACAGACACCAGAGCCCCCTCTTGCCGAGCAACGGAGCCTGTGCACCGGCTCCTGCCCGCTGCCCGCTGCCCCCGCCCACGTGGGAATGAGAAGGGCCGCGGGAAGGAGGAGGGAGCCGTGAACGTGGATGTCCAGTCCGAGCGCAGAAAGCGGCTGCACGGAAGCAGCTCCTCTCGGGCTGGGCGCGGGCAGACCCCGCAGCGAGGGGAACGCTCAGCGCGGGCGGGGAGGGCGCCGGACATGCGGGGAGAAGGGCGCCTCCCGCTGGCGGGGCGGGTGCAGAGCTCACGCCCAGTCACCTGGGCCCGCACACCAAATGGGCGACACACGTGTCACATGGTGACCGCGGGCGGCTGCCGGGGGCGGACTCAGGCAGAGCCGGCCCGGGGGCGGACGCACCTGCTGTCGTCCTCACGGCGGGGAGGGCGCCGCGTCCACGCTCCGGGCGCCATCCTGGGGGTGTCCCGGGGCAGCTGCCATTCAGGGGGTCCCCCGAGGGTTGGGGGGGGGCCCATAGCACGGTGGCCTTGGGCCGGGGAAGGGGGCGGTTGGGGACCGGTGAGGTCCCGCACGCGGGACAGAAGCTGCCTTTCCTGACCACCCTCCCCAAACACGCCGCCTCTCGGGGAGGGGGGAGCGTCAGAGGGACACGGGCTGCGTGGGGCCGTCCCGGGCAATGAGGAGCTCCGAGCACCTGCCCCGCCGCCACCCGTGGCCGCTCCAGGCCTGCTTGGGCCTGGGCAGCCGGCACCTCCGCCCATTTCCCAGGCAGACAGGTCATTCTCGCTAAAGGGGCGCAGCTGGAACCGGGAGCCCCACCCGCCAGGCCCGGCCCCGCCCCGCCAAGAACCCCTGGCCGTCCCGATCTCGGCCATCCCCGTGGCCATGGGCAGCGGGATCTGCTCGGGGAACGCGGCCGCGGAAGGCGTGGCACATGCTGAACCGCGGCAGCTGCGCACGGGACTTCGGCCGGCACAGGGACCAGACCCAGGACCCCGAGGGGGGGCAGCTGCTCGGGAGGCCAGGCAGCCCCCCCACCCCCCCGCCCTGGGAGGTCCGGGCCACGCACAGGGGGCAGCGACCCTGCGGGGGTGAGAGCCACGGCGGTGAGCTGTGCACACGGAACACGCGGGCGGCGGCACACTAGTGAGATCAGGTGTGCTATCAGTGAGATCAGGTGTGGGCGGGCACGCCCAGCCACTGGCACCCGGCCGAGGACAGGCCGCCATGAGAGACGGTTTAAAAAGCCAGGGACCAAACCCCTAAACTGGCCACCGGGGGGTTCTCCCTCTGCGCCCGGTCTTCTGGCAGAAATGCACTCGTTCTCTAAATACCGTGTCCACGTCACTGCCGTTCTGCCCGCGGTCCCGGTATTTCTTCCCATGTCCCCCAGTTTGCTCCTGCGTACTCCCCGGGCTCGTCTGCACTGTACAACCTCGTTTGTCAGCACTCTGCTCTGAAGCTGAGGAGCTACAAGTGCTTGTCTGCAAACTATGGTTTACTGTTTAGTGCTCTCTTCAGTGAATTCCCGCGAGCTGTTCAGAATTCTGAGTGAAAGGGTGTTTCTTTTAAAACAGCTCTTGGAACTCTAAGATGCACAACCCCGGGAACGTGTGTGTGGCTCTAACTGTGGGTCCCCTGACCCCACCGGACGGCGGGAGGGCGGGGGTTCACCTGAAGCCGCCTACCCCCCGCCCCGCCCCCCGCAGGCTGTGTGGCCGCGGCCCCCCCACGCCTTCCCAGGCCTCTGAGCCCGGCCCCGGGGAGCTCTGGCCCGGCTGACCCTGGCAGGTTGGGGTCCCGGACTGGGGTCCCGGCCGGCCCTCTGGGCGGCCTCCGGAGATGGGCGTGTGCCCGGGGCGGGGGGGGGGGGGGGGAGGAAAGGCTGCTCGGGGCTCGGCTCCGGGAAGCCGGACCCTCCGCGCTCAGGATCACACAGGTTAAAGGTCGGACACGCGGGCCGCGCCCAGGCCAGCACAGCCCACGCAGGATGCGTGAACTCCGGCCTGGCTTCTCCCACACGGCGATCCGAGCTCTTACCCAACACACACCCACACGCCACCTCCTCCCCACACCCCGTTCCCACCCAGACCCTCGCTTCTCCCCTCGGCCCTGCCCGGGCCCGGGCACCGGCCACCCACGTTCACTCTACAGTGCGGTGGCCAGACGTCCGGCTTTTCCACAATTTGTCCCGAGGCTAAAACACCGGGACTTTTTAAAACCGCAGGACAAATTGTTAAACCCGGGGCTGTCACCTTACTCTACACACCCGCCCCCCCTCAGGGGCGAGGGTAGTCAGGAGTCCAGCGGGATGTGGATGGGATGTGGCTGGGCTCCGCCTGCACACCCAGCGGGCTTTCCCGGGGCAACGTGTCTGCAGCGGAGACTCCATCCTCCCAGACCGGCCCCTGCCGCCTCCTGCGCCCTCAGAGGCCCGCCGAGCTCCCGGCTCCCGCAGCCGCACAGCCGGCCCCGGGCGGGTCTGAGGCGCCCACAGCCCTCGGCAGGTGCCTGGCGCGGGGACAGCCCGGGCAGCGACAGGCCACACGCTGCGCGGGGCGGAAGCGTCCCCATCGCCTGCGCCCTCCTCTCCCGGCCTCTGGTCAGAAACCTTCCCGGCCCCGTGGACCCGGCCCGTCACCGAGCCGGGGAGGCCGCGGGCTGGGGCTGGAGGGGAGAGAGGCCCCACTGACCCTTCCACGGGGCGGGAGCGCCCCCCGGCCTCCAGCAGCTCCTCCGCCATCTCCCATCAGACCGGCCCCGGGGGCGCCCAACGCCCGGGGACACGGCGTCCGGAAGGGCGGTCCGCGGCGAGCCAGCCGCGCCCCAGTCCCGGCCTCCCGGCCCCTGGCCGCCGCGACCCCCGCCCCGCGCGGCTCCGGAGCCCGGCCCCTCCGCCCCGGCCCCTGCGCGGCTCCGGAGCCCGGCCCGGCCTCACCGGCGCGGCCCCCCGCCCCGGCCCCTCCGCCCCGCGCGGCTCCGGAGCCCGGCCCCTCCGCCCCGGCCCTCGGCCCCGCGCGGCTCCGGAGCCCGGCCGGCCTCACCTGCGCGCACGCCCCCGGCGCGGCCCCCGCCCCCCGCGCGGCCGCTCACCTGCGCCCTGTGATCCGCCACCTCCGCGGCGCGCGCAATCTGAGCCGGCCGGAGCCCCGCCCCCGCGCTCACGTGGTGCGGCGGGCGGCCAATCGGAGGCGGTTCCTGCGCGCCGAGCGCCCCGGTGCCCCGCGATTGGCCGCAGGGCCTCGCCCCGCCCCCTGGGCTGACGCCGGGCCACCGCACGCGCCAATCCGCGGGGACCCGGCGAAGGGCGGGAAGCCGGCCCGGGGGCGGCGGGGTAAGCCCGGGTGATCAAGGCAGCGGGGGCCGCGCCTCCGTCCCGCTCTGCCGGGGCCTCGGAGCGCGGCAGACAGAGCGGGCGGGGGCCGGCGCCGGGGCGCAAACACCCCGGATGAAGGCGACCAGGCGTCCCAGTCCCGATTTTTAACAATGAAAGTCGCACCGAAGCCGGTGTGGCTCAGTGGATAGAGCGTCGGCCTGCGGACTGAAGGGTCCCAGGTTCGATCCTGGTCAAGGGCATGTGCCTTGGTGGTGGGCACATCCCCAGTGGGGGGTGTGCAGGAGGCAGCTGATCGATGATTCTCTCTCATTGTGTTTCTAACTCTGTCCCTCTCTCTGAAAAAATCAATAATATATATATATTTAAAAAAAAAACACAATTAAAATGGGGACTTTTTAAAAACGCCGCGGGACATATTGTTAAAAATCGGGACCTCTGGTCACCTTACACCAGATGTCTCTCGGGCGCAGGCAGTAACCGGTAGACAAGCCGGTGCACTGGAGTCAGGTGCGCAGAGGGCGGGCGAGGCCGCAGGCGGGCCCAGGTGTGTGGGGAGCGGAGCAGGGTTTGGGGCTGGCAGGCCGGGCTCTCTGCCGGGAGGCCATCGCAGGGCGGTTCCCGGGAGGTGGCCGGACCTGGACCTTAGGGTGTTGGTCACCCCCGTGCAGAGATGGGGGGTGGGGGGGAGGAAGCCGCATGGCTGGGCACGGGAGAAGCTGAGTTGCCAGGCACGGCCAAACGCATGGGAAGCTGGGATGGACAGAGAGCCCCTCAGAGCCGCCCCACTGGGCAGGGAGGGCCCAGCCCTGCGCTCAGGCCTCCATCCGTCACGGGACACCCATCGGTGCCGGGACACGGGCATCCTTGCAAGGGCGTGACCTTGAGCTAGGCCGCTGTGCAACCGGGCGGCCCTGGAGAGAGGTGGGCAGCTGCAGGCCCGCAGGACCCCGCTTCCCACATCGGGGTGCCAGGGGCAACTGCGTGGCACCCCTCTGTGCTCCTCACAGAGACACTGGTTTTTCTGCAATTTTTTTTATTTAGAAAAAATATCAAACCAGCCAGCCAGTTGAACATGCACTGAAGGGGCGCCCCTCCACGGAGATTCCGCAGATTCATCGTTCCCCTCTCGCTGTGTGTGACCCCCACCCCGCCAGGAGGAATCAGCGGCCGGCGAAACTCCCTGCTAAACCCCAGCACCGCGTCCTATAAACGAAGGCGCTCTCCTTCCCGGCTGGAAGTTACCACTCGGCACCGCGGCACCCAACGTCCTGTCCGTGTTCCGTGCCCCCCTGTGCCGGCTCCGTGTGTTCTAGCTTTTCTAAAACCCCAGGATCCTGCCCGGAACCCACCGGTGCACTTTCTGTCATGGCTCCTGAGCCTTCCTGAGCCTGGAGCGGGGCCCAGGCTGCTAACTCGCGTGTTGCATCTCTCCGGGCCTCCGTGCCAGGCCGGTTCAGAGAGCCGCGGCCGCGTTGGCTGCTGGCTGGCGTGGGCTTGGCTGCTCTCCTCGCCCGGCACTTAGGCTGCGTCCTTCGGGGCGGGATCCCGTGCGGCCTGCGGGCTGTCCTGTCCCCGCATCCCAGCAGGAGAGCACGGGCCACCTTGTCTGCCGGCCGCGGGTCAGGGGGGCTGCGTGGACCGGGAGCTTTGCCTCCATATTTCCTCGCGTGGTTAATAAGTAACCTATGCAGTGACACTTTGAGGCCGGGTCCACCTTTCACCAGGCCACCCACCAGTTAACCGCGGCTCTTGCCAGCCTCTGAGTCACAGAGTCTCTTTCCCCTAGCCAAGGCCACTGAGGAGCAAATAACGTACACGCCAGACCGAGCGCGTCAAACTCCAAGGCTCACACGGGCCAGATAAACAAGGTTGGAGTGGATGTGGCCGCAAAAGACAAAAGCTTCAATTTTCATTGAAACGTGGGTTCATTTCGATAGAGCCATGCTGAAGACAAAGGGCTGAAATAAATGAGTCATCGTTAGCACAGAATAATAGAACATTTTATTTTACTTATTTTTTATTTTTAAAATATATTTTATTTTATTTATTTGAAAAGTATATATATATATGTATATATATATATATAATATATATATTTTTTAACAGAGAGGAAGGGAGAGGGATAGAGAGCCAGAAACATCGATGAGAGAGAAATATCCATCAGCTGCCTCCTGTGGCATCCATCCCCCGGTGGGGGATGTGCCTACAACCAAGGTACATGCCCTTGACCAGAATTGAACCTGGGACCCTTCAGTCCGCAGGCTGACGCTCTATCCACTGAGCCAAAGCGGTTTCCACATAATAGCACATTTTAATAAAAGTCAATATTTTGTCTTGAACATTCACTTACCAGACACTGAATAACTGCACACATTAATAAGCGTAATGCAAATAAACCTATTTTTCTCGTTCTCCGAAAGGGAAATATTTCCTGTTGCTCACACCAAACAAGCCAGTCCTTCACTAATGATGTGGCCATCGGCTGCTAAATATTCTCTCTTCGTTATTAGTGGAGAGAAATGGTGGCCTGAGCGTAAGGCGCGTAAGGGAAATGAATGCAACACGTTCATAACCATCAGTCCTTCGCGAGCATTGTAGTTTGTTATTAGTAATTATGTGTAACAGGATATTGTAAACATTAAGTTACAAAATTTTTATGAAAACGTTTCTTACAACCCTGGCCGGTTCGGCTCAGTGGCTGCAGCGGTGGCCTGAGGACTGAAAGGTCCCGGGTTCCATACTGGTCAAGGGCACAGGCCCGGGTTTCGGCTCCATCCCCAGTAGGGGGCGTGCAGGAGGCAGCCGATCAGTACTTCTCTCTCATCATTGATGTTTCTATCTCTCCTTTCCTCTCCCTTCCTCTCTGAAATCAATACAAATATTTAAAACAAAAACAAAAACGTTTCTTACATACCGTTATCTCGGTGGGGCCGCAAAAGTATTCCTTGTGGGCCGCATGCGGCTCCCTGGCCACGAGCTTGACATGCTCGCTCCAGACAGTCCTGGCCCCTCTTCCATGACATTTTTTCCCCCCATGACATTCTTTAAAGATGAAACTGCTGCTGAAACCTGTGTGGCTCAGTGGATAGAGCGTCCCGGGTTCGATTCCAGTCAAGGGCATGTGCCTTGGTTGCGGGCACATCCCCAGTGGGGGGTGTGCAGAAGGCAGCTGATCAATGTTTCTCTCATTGATGTTTCTGGCTCTCTATCCCTCTCCCTTCCTCTCTGTAAAAAATCAAAATATATATATATTTTAAAAAAAGATGAGATTGACCAGAGACTGCCGCGCCCCCTGTGCACCCCTTTTGGCGGGTCCCCATGCGGAGGGCACCGGCGCCCGCACAGACTCTGCTGAGTCCCCAGACCTCCCGGGGTGCCCGCCGCGGAGAACCTCAGGCCGGAGGAGCGCCCCCAGCGCGGCTGCCAAGGCCTGGCCTCATCCTCCTCCGAAACCCATGGGCCCCCAAGGGCGACCAGGGGAGCAACGGAACGGACAGCCGCAGCTGCCCCCCGCCCCCACAACAGGCTCTAAGGCCCCTGGGACAGTGGTCGGCAAACTATAGTCAACGGAGCGGCAAACCGTGGCTCGCGAGCCGCAGGTTGCCGACCAGACCACTGGCTGGACTAAACGGCGGTGAGATCTCTCTGCAGCCGCGCCCCCTCCGGTCACAGCGGAGCGCCGTCGGGGGGCCGTGGGGGTGCACCCGGGCAGGCCGCCCCACGCCGGCGCCCGGGACCTGGCGACCAGCCCGCCCGCCCGGGGGCGTGGGAGCCGCGGGCACAGCGGGCGGGGCGGGGCCGGCGTCCCCTCAGGGGCGGGGCCTACTTGCGCATGCGTGGCCGCGGTCCGCCGGCGGCTGGGGGCGGGGCCTGGCCGGGGGGCGGGTCCGGTCTCCGCCCGGCCTGGGGGCGGGGCCCGGGAGGCCCGCAGAAGGAGCCGAGGGCGCAGCGGGCGGGGGCGGGGCCTCCCCTGCGCATGCGCGGCTGCTGGCCGCCGGCGTCGGCTAGGGGCGGGGCCTGTACGGGGGTGGGGCCTGGCTGGGGCTCTGTCCTGTCTCCGCCAGGCCTGGGGGCGGGGCCGGGAGGGGCGGGGCCTGGGCTGGGGCGGGGCCTGGTCTGGGCGGGGGCGGGGCCCGGGAGGCCGGCAGAAGGAGCCGCGGGCAGGATGGGCCGGAAGGTGACCGTGGCCACCTGCGCGCTCAACCAGTGGGCTCTGGACTTCGAGGGCAACCTGCACCGGATCCTAAAGAGTGAGCGGCAGCCGTACAAACAGTAAAAACGCCCGTTTTTCAGAAAAGTCCGAGGCAACGGGGGGCGGGGGCCGGAGGGGCCGGAGGGGCCGGAGGGCGGGGCCAGGTCCCCCTGGCCGATCGCTGGCCCCGGACCCGGACACACAGCCCGCCCGCGGGCGTGGGGACAGGGAGAGGGCGGCGGCCACGCGTGTGCGTCCTCCCGGGGTGCTGGGGGCGTGTGGGTGCCGGACACGCGGGGCGCACACCTGGTAGGAAAAGTCTGGTCGCAAGTGCAGAGCGGGGGTGGGGGGTGGATTGGGGCGGTCCCGCCCTCAAATGTCTCGGGTCCCACCTGCCATCTGGAGCGGTAGCTGCCCTGGGTGGGGTGTTGTGGAAGGGGAGAGGGTGCTGGGATGTGTCCCACCCTGGTGCGGAGGACCTGCCTGGGTGGCCATCGGGAGGAGCGCCCAGAGGAAGGGGATAGAGCGGAGCTGGGAGACGGGGCGCTGTGGCCAGGCGGTGGGGTCACTTTGAGGGTGAGTCACCCACCGGCCCTGGGCGCCCTGTGGGGGGTGGGGGGTGGCCCTGCGGGTTGTCGGCACAAGCTGCTGAGGCTGGAGGGTCGCAGAGGCAGTAAAAAGGGGACTGGTTCCAGTGGGGACTGGAACCATTCCCCTTCATCCTTTCTATTTTCTTTCTTTTTAAAAAAAAAATATATTTTATTGTTTTTTTTCACAGAGAGGAAGAGAGAGGAATAGAGAGTTAGAAACATCGATGAGAGAGAACCATTGATCAGGTGCCTCTTGCACACCCCCCACTGGGGATGTGCCCGCAACCCAGGTACATGCCCTTGACCGGAATCGAACCTGGGACCTTTCAGTCTGCAGACCGACGCTCTATCCACTGAGCCACACCGGTTTCCTTTCTATTTTCTTCACCAACTGCTGTCCTCTCCTCAGCTCAGAGCAGATCTGTGGAGGGAGCTGGGGGGGTGCAGAGCCGCCTGCACACAGCGGCCTCGCCGGGCTGTCCTGGGGAGGGGCTGGCTCACCCGGGTTCATGGTGCAGCCACCCACTGTGCCTCCACGCCGCCGCCTCCCTGCCGGGCGGGGCCTCCCGCCTGGCTGGTTAATGGTCCACCAGGAGCGACTCCTGCGCCAGGGCCCGCCCAGGGCCGGTCAGCGGGCAGCAATGCCCGTCTCAGGTCTGCAGGTGTGAGCGGGTCGGATGGCCTGCAGCTGCCTCGGGGCCAGCAGGTCGCCGGGCGCTCCTGCGTTGGAGGTTGGGTCTTCTCACGCCTCCTCAGCAGGTGTGGGTGCCCTCGAGTGTGTGGGTGCTGACGTTGGCGCCCCCCCCTCCTCCCCCCCTCCGTCCATGTAGGCATCGAGATCGCCAAGCAGAAGGGAGCCAGGTACAGGCTGGGCCCAGAGCTGGAAATATGGTGAGAGCAGAGCTCGGGAACACAGTGTGGAGGGGTGGAGGAGGGGGTGCAGGGAGGGGGCCACAGCAGCGCACCTGGGCCACTCCTGGGCACTCTGACTTGACCGGCCCATGGGCTGCGTCCCCCTGTCCCCGCCTCACCGTCTGTCCCTCCCTCGGCAGTGGCTATGGGTGCTGGGACCACTATTACGAGTCGGACACCCTCCTGCACTCTCTGCAAGTGCTGGCCGCCCTGCTGGAGGCTCCGGTCACTCAGGACATCATCTGCGATGTGGGCATGTAAGTGCCGACGGCGCGATGACCGGCCAGTGCAGGTGGAGGCCCTCAGGTGGAGGTCCACAGGTGCAGGTCGCATGGGTGCAGGTCACATGGGTGCAGGTCCATAGATGGAGGTCACATGGGTGCAGGTCACATGGCGGCGGTCACATGGGTGGAGGTCCATAGGTGGAGGTCACATGGGTGTAGGTCACATGGGCAGAGGTCACATGGATGGAGGTCCATAGATGGAGGTTACATTGGTGGAGGTCACATGGGTGGAGGCCCACAGGTGGAGGTCACATGAGTGGAGGTCACATGGGTGGAGGCCCACAGGTGGAGGTCACAGGGTGGGCCCGGCCTGGGTATGGGCCACTCGTTGCTAACAGCCCGTTGGCGGCCGGTGTCAGCTCTGCCCGACTCCATGAACACGGAGGCCTTCGCATGGGCGTGCCTGCCCCCCCTCATCCTCCTGTGCTGTGACGCTGGCCATGGGTCTGAGCACACGGGGGGCCGGGTGTTCACGAGGCGCCCTCCCCGCAGGCCCGTGATGCACCGTAATGTCCGCTACAACTGCCGGGTGATCTTCCTCAACAGGTGGGCGCCCCCGCCTCGGGCTCCTGGGGTGAGAGGCCCCGTGAGGTTTGGGGCCCTGGGCCCTGGGGAGGGAGGTGAGCCGCAGGAGGGTGGGCTCCCCCGTGCCCCCGCGGCCCCCGCAGCGATGCCCGCCGGGCGCCAGCCTCCTGCCGGCTGGGCTGTGGCTGCCACGTGCCGGCCTCGGCCTCAGGGCACCCGTCCCGGCTGCAGGCGGATCCTGCTCATCAGACCCAAGATGGCCCTGGCCAACGAAGGGAACTACCACGAGCTGCGCTGGTTCGCCCCGTGGGCCCGCGGCCGGTGAGTCCGTCCGCGCGGGTCTGGGCCTCCCTCCGCTTCTGCCGGTTTCAGGGCGGGCGGGAGGGGAGACGGCATGACAGCCTCGTCCCGCCGGCTCCCCGCAGGCAGACGGAGGACCACTTCCTCCCGCGGATGATCCAGGAGGTGACCGAGCAGGTGAGCTGCGGGGACGCACTCTCGGGGTGGGCGGGGCCATGGGGGGCCGCGGGGGCCGTGGGGGCCGCGGGGCCGTGGGGGCCGTGGGGGCCGCGGGGGGCCGCGGGGGACCGAGGGGGCCGAGGGGGCCGTGGGGGGCCGTGGGGGGCCGCGGGGCCGTGGGGGGCCGCGGGGCCGCGGGGGCCGTGGGGGCCGCGGGGGGCCGTGGGGGCCGCGGGGGGCCGCGGGGCCGCGGGGGGCCGCGGGGGCCGCGGGGGGCCGTGGGGGCCGCGGGGGGCCGAGGGGGCCGTGGGGGGCCGTGGGGGTCGCGGGGGCCGCGGGGAGTCGCGGGGGCCGTGGGGGGCCGAGGGGGCCGTGGGGCCGTGGGGGGCCGCGGGGCCGTGGGGGCCGTGGGGGCCGTAGGGGCGGGAGCCCCCACGTCAGCCACAGTGACAGGACCACGAGAGCCGTCGGCCGTTTCTGACCCGCGTGGGCGATTTCCTGACGTGCCAAGTGCGTGGGCGCATGGAGGAGGCAGAGGCCCGGCACGGGGGGGGGGGGCAGGGGGAGCTGGGGGGCCCTGGGCGGGGGAGGCTGCTGTCAGCGCAACCGCGGTGACGTGGCCCTTTGCGCCCGAGCACATGCGGGGCGGATTCTGTGGCTGCAGCCACGGGGCTCCGGGCGGCTCCGGCTGGTGGACGTGGGACCAGAGGCCCCGGGGGCGGCGGGGGGGGCGGCGGGGAGGGGCGGCGGGGAGGGGCGGCGGGGAGGGCGGCGGGGAGGGCGGGCGGGGAGGGGCGGCGGGGAGGGCGGCGGGGAGGGGCGGGCGGGGAGGGCGGCGGGGAGGGCGGCGGGGAGGGGCCGCGGGGGGGGCGGCGGGGGGGGGCGGCGGGGGAGGGCGGCGGGGAGGGGCCGCGGGGAGGGCGGCGGGGAGGGGCCGCGGGGAGGGCCGCGGGGAGGGCCGCGGGGAGGGCCGCGGGGAGGGCGGCGGGGAGGGCCCCCCATGCCGGCACGAGGAGTCCTGGGAAGCCCCAGCCCGGATGGCGGCCACGGTCCCCTCTCTCGTCCGCCCGCAGGAAACCGTGCCGTTCGGCGACGCGGTGCTGGCCACACGGGACACCTGCATCGGCAGCGAGATCTGCGAGGAGCTCTGGACGCCCCAGAGGTCAGCTCGCCGCCTCCCGTCCGGAGCCCGGCCTCCTGGCCAGCCGGGGGCACGGGCTGGTCACCGTCCGGAGCCCGGCCTCCTGGCCAGCCGGGGGCACGGGCTGGTGACTGTCCGGAGCCCGGCCTCCTGGCCAGCCGGGGGCACGGGCTGGTCACCGTCCGGAGCCCGGCCTCCTGGCCAGCCGGGGGCACGGGCTGGTCACCGTCCGGAGCCCGGCCTCCTGGCCAGCCGGGGGCACGGGCTGGTCACCGTCCCGGAGCCCGGCCTCCTGGCCAGCCGGGGGCACGGGCTGGTCACCGTCCCGGAGCCCGGCCTTGGGCCAAGGAGACAGGAGACGCCTGGGAGCTTGCAGGCTGGGGGGCGGGCTGGGGGGCGGGCTAGGGGGCTGGCTGGGGGGGCAGGTTGAGGGCGTGGGCTGGGGGGGCGAGTTGTGGGGCAGGCTGGGGGGCAAGCTGGGGGTGGATTGGGGGGTGGGCTGAGGGCGGGCGGGGGGCGGGCGGGGGGTGGATTGGGGGGCGGGCGGTGGATTGGGGGGGCGGGCTGGGGGCGGGCGGGGGGCACGGCGGCCTCTTCCCCCTCACCGGCTCCGCCCGCAGCCCGCACATCGCCATGGGCCTGGACGGTGTGGAGATCTTCACCAACGCCTCGGGCAGCCACCACGTGCTGCGCAAGGCCCACGCCCGGGTGGGCCTGGTCACCATGGCTACCGCCAAGGTAGGCACCGCCGGGCCTGTGTCTGGCTCTCACCGGGTCCCGGCGCCTGGACGCTGGTTCTCACCGGGTCCCGGCGCCTGGACGCTGGCTCTCACCGGGTCCGGTGCCTGGACTCTGGCTCTCACCGGGTCCCGGAGCCTGGACTCTGGCTCTCACCGGGTCCCGGCGCCTGGACGCTGGCTCTCACCGGGTCCCGGTGCCTGGACGCTGGCTCTCACCGGGTCCTGGCGCCTGGCATAGGCGGGGCCCACGCATGAGGGCCTCTCGGTCCTGCTGGTGCGGCCGGCGCTCGGCAAGCGGCCTGGCTTCTCGGCGGGGGCCCGGCCCGGCCTCGTTCAGCCCTGGCACCCGCCCTGCCAGGCCGGCCGTGACGTCCCCTCTGGAGTCGGGCCCGGGCACACCTCCAGCCTCCTGCCCTCACCCCTGCGTCCCCTCCCGCCCTCACCCCGGCCTCCCCCTCCCGCCCTCACCCCGGCCTCCCCCTCCCGCCCTCACCCCTGCGTCCCCCTCCCGCCCTCACCCCCGGCCTCCCCCTCCCGCCCTCACCCCGGCCTCCCCCTCCCGCCCTCACCCCGGCCTCCCCCTCCCGCCCTCACCCCGGCCTCCCCCTCCCGCCCTCACCCCTGCGTCCCCCTCCCGCCCTCACCCCGGCCTCCCCCTCCCGCCCTCACCCCCGGCCTCCCCCTCCCGCCCTCACCCCTGCGTCCCCCCTCCCGCCCTCACCCCCGGCCTCCCCCTCCCGCCCTCACCCCTGCGTCCCCCTCCCGCCCTCACCCCGGCCTCCCCCTCCCGCCCTCACCCCTGCGTCCCCCTCCCGCCCTCACCCCGGCCTCCCCCTCCCGCCCTCACCCCTGCGTCCCCCTCCCGCCCTCACCCCGGCCTCCCCCTCCCGCCCTCACCCCCGACCTCCCCCTCCCGCCCTCACCCCTGCGTCCCCCTCCCGCCCTAACCCCGGCCTCCCCCTCCCGCCCTCACCCCTGCGTCCCCCTCCCGCCCTCACCCCGGCCTCCCCCTCCCGCCCTCACCCCCGGCCTCCCCCTCCCGCCCTCACCCCTGCGTCCCCCTCCCGCCCTCACCCCGGCCTCCCCCTCCCGCCCTCACCCCCGGCCTCCCCCTCCCGCCCTCACCCCTGCGTCCCCCTCCCGCCCTCACCCCGGCCTCCCCCTCCCGCCCTCACCCCGGCCTCCCCCTCCCGCCCTCACCCCCGGCCTCCCCCTCCCGCCCTCACCCCCGGCCTCCCCCTCTCCCCATCCTGCCCCCCCCCCCCCCGCTCCTCCCCCCCCCCCCCCCCGCACCGTGCTTTGGGAGGTGACACAGGAGTGGGGAGCGGGCTGAGCCATTGGCCGTTGGCTTCGTGGTGGAACCGGGGACCATCCACACGTTGACTCTTTTAAAAAAATATATATTTTATTGATTTTTTACAGAGAAGAAAGGAGAGGATTAGAGCTAGAAACATAGATGAGAGAGAAACATCAATCAGCTGCCTCTTACCCCCCCCCCCCCAACCGGGGATGTGCCTGCAACCAACGTCCATGCCCTTGACCGGAATCGAACCCGGGACCTTTCAGTCCGCAGGCCGAGGCTCTATCCACTGAGCCACACCGGTTTCGGCGCGTTTACTCTTTAAAAAAAGAAAATGTCTTCTTTGGTCTTTAGAGAGAAAGGGAGAGACACAGACAGTGATGAGCGAGAGAAAGGTCATGTGCCTCCTGCACGCCCCCTCCTGGGGTGGAGCCCACAACCCGCGCGTGTGCCCGACGGGGAGCCCCTGGGGGACGCTCGTGGCCGGGCCACTGCCTCTTGCTGGCGACGGAGGCCGTGCGTTGGTGGCTGGCGGGACGGTGCCTCAGCCGAGCTGGGTCGGGACCTCGGCTTTGACACCGGGTCTGCCTTCCCCGCACCTTCGTGTCCCTCCTGAGTGGGGGGGCCAGCGCCCTGGGGGGCTGTGGGAGTAGCATGGACGCTCATGTCCCCCCGGGGACCCCTGGCCAGTGCGGTGGCCGCAGGCTGCAGGCTCCTGGGCACGTTTCCTGCCGCAGACACGGCCGTGGGCGGGCGGGGTCTGCAGCCTGTGGGCGGCGGCAGTGGGGGGGCTCCTGTGCGTGTTTCCTGCCGTGGACATGGCCGTGGGTGTGGACACGGCCGTGGGCGGGCGGGGTCTGCGGCCTGTGGGCGGGGGCTCCTGTGCGTGTTTCCTGCCGTGGACACGGCCGTGGGTGTGGACATGGCCGTGGGCGGGGTCTGCAGCCTGCGGGCGGCAGGGGGGGGCTCCTGTGCGTGTTTCCTGCCGCGGACATGGCCGTGGGTGTGGACACGGCCGTGGGCGGGCGGAGTCTGCGGCCTGTGGGCGGGGGCTCCTGTGCGTGTTTCCTGCCGTGGACACGGCCGTGGGTGTGGATATGGCCGTGGGCGGGCGGGGTCTGCAGCCTGTGGGCGGCGGCAGTGGGGGGGCTCCTGTGCGTGTTTCCTGCCGTGGACACGGCCGTGGGTGTGGACATGGCCGTGGGCGGGGTCTGCAGCCTGCGGGCGGCAGGGGGGGGCTCCTGTGCGTGTTTCCTGCCGCGGATGCAGGAGGGGCGGGTCTGCCGCCTGCGGGCGGGGCGGTCACGCACCGGCCTCGCTGACCGCCGGCCTGTCCGCAGAACGGCGGCATCTACCTGCTGGCCAACCAGAAGGGCTGCGACGGCGACCGGCTGTACTACGACGGCTGCGCCATGATCGCCATGAACGGCGCGGTGTTCGCGCAGGGCGCCCAGTTCTCGCTGGACGACGTGGTGAGAGCCGCCGGGCCCTCCCCGCCGGTGCTTGTCCCCCCACAACCGGGCTGCCCGGCGGTTCCCCTCCACCCGCTGCACCTGCCCCACACGCCCCCAGGGGCGCCCTGAGGGCTGTGGGAGGAGGAGGCGGCTCCGTAGTAACGAGGAGCGACCTCCCCCCCCCCAGCCTGTGGCGGGCGGTTTGGGGGACTGAAGCGCTGGGGGCGGGTTCGAGGCGGGAGGCAGGTGGAAAGGCCTGAGGACTGTCCTCCCGCCTCCCTCCGTGCGAGGGACCGCGGCTGTGATTGCCGGGACAGACGGGACCTCAGTGCCCAGGACCCCACGGCTCTGCGCCCGTCCGGGGCCACAGGCCCCCCCACTGCCCTGGGCGCCCGTTCGCTCTCAGGGACGGGAGCGGCCCCAGGCCTCACCGTCCTCCCCTGCAGGAGGTCCTCACCGCCACGCTGGACCTGGAGGACGTCAGGAGCTACCGGGCCGAGGTGTCCTCCCGGAACCTGGCGGTGCGTGGGCCTTGCAGGGCGGTGCGTGGGCGCCGAGGGGCGGGCGTGGGCGCCTGAGGGGCGGGGCGTGGGCGCCTGGCCGGGCGGGGCGTGGGTGCGTTGATTCCCACACCACAGCTCTCTGACCCAGCACAGTCCGTGGTTTGGTGTATTCGTGCATAGACTGTGCAGCCATCACCACATCCAGGGGTAGAATGTTTATTTTCTTTTTCTTTTAAAAATATATTTTATTGATTTTTTTACAGAGAGGAAGGAGAGGGATAGAGAGAGTTAGAAACATCGATGAGAGAGAAACAATCATCAGCTGCCTCCTGCACATCCCCACCTGGGTACATGCCCCTGCACGGAATTGAACCCGGGACCTTTCAGTCTGCAGGCCGACGCTCTATCCACTGAGCCACACCGGTGTTGGCCATTTCTTTTTTTTAACTTAAATTCTTTGTTTACAGTATTACGTAGTCTCCTTTGCCCCCACTGACCTCTCCCCGGCCGCTCCCACCCCCCATTCTTTTAAAAAAAAACTTAATTGTATTGATGTCAGAGAGGAAGGGAGAAGGGAGAGAGAGACATCCATGAGGAGAGAGAACGTGGATCGGCTGCCTCCTGCACAACCCACACTGGGATGGAGCCCGCAACCCGGGCCTGTGCTCTGACCGGGAATCGAACCCTGACCTCCTGGTTCCGAAGTCAATGCTCAGCCCTGCCATTAGGGCTGGAACATTTCAGCACTCCAGAAGGGATCCCTGACCCCCCCCCTCCACCGCCCTGGCGATCTGCCTCCGGCCGTGGCCCTGGGTCCGGGCAGCGGGCGGAGGCCTCACCTGCTGGGCCGGCTTCCCACGGGGCCGGCTGCGTCCACGCTCCGTGCACGTGGCAGCGTGGCGGGCTCCACGCCTCCTGCTGGCTGAGGACGGGCCAGGGCGGACGGACGGCGCTGTGCCCCTCGTCCTGGGCCGGCCCGTGGCCTGCTCCACGTTGTGTGCGGATGACCGTGCGCTGGGAGCTCGGCCTGGGGCTCCCGGGTGTGGCCCCCCAGAGCGCTGGCTCACGGGCCTTCCTCCGCCCGCCCTCCTGCATCCTCACCGGGCGCAGGGCCGAGGGCCCAGCCCGCACCGCCCGCCGCCCCGTGCGGGCGCCTCTCTGCTGCGCGTGGGGGGCGGGGGGAAGGGTCTCCCTGTGGCCCAGTGCGTCCCATGGCGGGCCCCGAGCGGGCACCGGGTCACCATCCGCCTGACCACCCCAGGCCAGCAGGGCGAGTCCCTACCCCCGCGTGAAGGTGGACTTCGCCCTCTCCTGCCACGAGGACCTGCTGCAGCCGCTGTCGGAGCCGGTGGAGTGGAAGTACCACAGCCTGGGCGAGGAGATCAGGTGGGCGGGTGACCAGGTGGGCAGGTGACCAGGTGGGCGAGGAGATCAGGTGGGCGGGTGACCAGGTGGGCGAGGAGATCAGGTGGGCGAGGAGATCAGGTGGGCAGGTGACCAGGTGGGCGAGGAGATCAGGTGGGCGGGTGACCAGGTGGGCGAGGAGATCAGGTGGGCGGGTGACCAGGTGGGCGGGGCTGTCAGGTGGGCGGGGCTGTCAGGTGAGTGGGGAGATCAGGTGGGTGAGATCAGGTGGGCGAGATCAGGTGGGCGGGGAGGTCAGGTGGGTGGGAAGGTCAGGTGGGTGAGGTCAGGTGGGGGGGAGGTCAGGTGGGTGGGGTCGGGTGGGCGGGGCTGTGGAGCCCTTGGTTGGGGGTACGGCCTCGCTCTGTGGGGCTCACAGTGTGGACGCTGCAGCCACAGCACCTGGGCCACCCCAGCTCTGAGCGAGCTCCCCCCGAGACCTCAGGACAAAGGCCTGTGTGCTCCCTTCGGCGTCTCAGTTTCCCCATTTCAAAACGGGCGATGGCAGCACCCCCCTGGCCAGGGCTGTTTTGAGACTAAAAACCCACCAGTTCAGTGAGGGGCTCAGTCAGACCAGGTCCACAGGGCCCGGCGCTGCAGGCGGGTCTCCCTGACCCACCTCTCCCAGGCACCTCCCCCCCATACCCCCCAGGCACCTGCCCCCCCCCCCCCCAGGCACCAAACCCCAAACCTAACTCCCCTGTGCTCCCAGCCTCGGACCCGCTTGCTGGCTGTGGGATTTCTTAAGACGAAGCCATCAGGTGAGACCTGGGGCCGCGCTGCTCACTGGTTTGTGTCCATCCCCAGGCTTGTGATTTGTTGTCGGGCTGTTTCCTTTAGATGCATATTTACTATGTTTCAAATTTTAACACATTTTTATTGATTTCCGAGAGGAAGGGAGAGGGAGAGAGAAGCATGGACGATGAGAGAGAACACGGACCGGCTGCCTCCTGCACGCCCCCTAGTGGGGATCGAGCCTATAACCCTGGCCCGTGCCCAGACCAGGAATCAGACTCTGGTTTCCTGGTTCACAGGTCAAGGCTCAACCCCTGAGACGGCCCGAGGTTTGGTTTTTAAGCGCAGCGCACGCCGAGCGTGTCCGTGGGACGGGGCTGGAGCCCGGTCTGTGCGGCCAGGCCAGGGCACGGAGGCTGGGCCCCGCGTGGCCAGCTGTGGGTCCGGCCGTCTCCGATGCCCGTGGCGTCCACCTTGGCCCCTCCCCCCGCAGAAGGCCTGCCCCGGGGCCCCCGTGGGGTGCGGGCACCCGTGCAGTTTTGTGGGCACTCGTGGAGGCTGGCGGGGATTGGGGGGTGGGGGGGCGTGGGGAGGTGGGAATGGGGCTGGGCACCGCGTCCCCTGGCCAGGCTCAGGCGGTCTGCTCGGCCCTTGCAGGCGGGGTTCTTCCTGCCCCTGAGTGGCGGCCTGGACAGCGCGGCCACCGCCTGCCTCGTCCACTCCATGTGCCACCAGGTCTGCGAGGCTGTGCGGAGTGGAAGTAGGTGGCCCTGTGGCTGAGGGAGGCGGGGGCGGGGAAGGGCTAGGTCCGAGCTCCCTGCCCGTGGGCGGGGCCGGAGAACCAGCCCCGGAACGCAGGGGGCTGGGCTGACGGCTGAGCTGTCCAGCGCCGGGCGGGGCCAGCAGGCCGTCCAGGTCCCGTCTGGTCCTGGCCCGGGCGCTGCACGGCCCAGACGCCGGCGTCTTTCAGATCCCGAGGTGCTGGCCGACGTCCGGGCGCTGGTGGGCGAGGCCGGCTACACCCCCCAGGACGCCCGTGAGCTGTGCGGCCGCCTGCTGACCACCTGCTACATGGCCAGCGAGAACTCCTCCCAGGAGACCCGCGACCGGGCCCAGGAGCTGGCGCAGCAGATCGGGAGGTGAGGGTCACGGCGGCGGCCAGGGCCGCGCCCACGTCCGGCGAACACGCTGCGGGGCCGAGCGGTCACTGCCTCGCGGTCTGAGTCGTCCCCGAGCCCGGTGTCCGTGCCCCCCCCTTCCCGCCTCGCCCCTGCGTCCCCCGTGCCCGGGAGGGTCCTCTCGCAGGGCCCCGACGCCCCACGTGACCACGTCGGAAACATCCCGCAGGCAGAGCTGGAGGGACGGGTGGACGGGGTGGACGAGGTGGCCTCGGGCTGCAGGAGGGGCAGAGACAGCTAGGGGTCCAGGGTCTCCTTTGGGGTGATGGAAAGTTCTGAGACAGAGGTGGTGACTGCACAGCACTGCAGACGCACCACGTGCCACTGAGCCCTGCATTTGTAACGGTCGGCGTGATTGTGTGTTGTGTGTGCTTCGCTGCATGCACAGGCATACGCACCCCTCACGCCCACTCTCTCTCACCTCTAACACACGTGCACACGCCCCTCACACACGTGCAAACACCCCTCACACAGTGCAAACGCCCCTCACGCGTGCACGAGCCCCTCACGCCCGCCCCTCACGCACGTGCACACGCCCCGCACACACGTGCACGTGCCCCTCACGCCCGCCCCTCACGCACGTGCACACGCCCCGCACACGTGCACACGGCCCTCACGCCCGCCTCGCCTGCAGCCACCACATCGGCCTCAGCATCGCCCCCGCGGTGACGGCGGTCCTGGGCATCTTCAGCCTGGTGACGGGGAGGAGGCCTCTGTTCGCGGCGCACGGCGGCAGCAGCAAGGAGAACCTGGCCCTGCAGAACGTGCAGGTGCGCCGCCCGCCCGCCCCCGCCCTGTCCCCCCTGATCCCCCCATCCCCCCATGACCTCCTGGTCAGGGCCCGGCTGGCGTGTGCCCATGTGTGAGCGTGTAAGAGTCAGGGTGCACACAGCAGGCATGTGAGTGTAAGTGTGCAAGAGTAAGCAAGTCTGAGGGGGTGGGTGGGTGAAGGTGTGTGTGAGCAAACCATGTGAGTTGGAAAGTGTGCGAGTGTGAGTGTGCATGTGGGTTGTGAGCATGTGAGTGCACGAGGGTGTGTGCACAAGAGTGTGGATGCATGGGTGTGAATCACTGGTGTGTGTGCACAGTGTGTGTGTGCACAGTGTGTGTGCACAGTGTGTGTGTGCAGTGTGTGTGCACAGTGTGAGTGTGTGTTCTGCATCCTTGCTGAGGGGCTGCCTTGGGGAGCCGGACGCCAGTTGCTGTGCTGAGCTCAGTGGCTCGGAGCGGCCTCTCCGTCCTCCCTGCCGGGCGTGCGGCCTCTGCTCCCCAGGACGGCCGGCGGGAAGGGAGCGGACGGGGCGGCCACGTCCCTCCGGCCGCTGCGTGCCGTCCCCGTCCCCACCGACTCCCGGCCCGGGCTCCGGGCTTCGGCCTCTGACTCGCCCAGCCAAGCGCCCGGGGCCCCGCGGAGACGGTGGCTCAGGAGCCGGCCGGCCCGGAGCCAGGAGGCTGAGGCCGCGCCCGCACGTGCCCACGGTGCCGCTCCCCCGCAGGCGCGGCTCCGGATGGTGGTCGCCTACCTCTTCGCTCAGCTGAGCCTGTGGGCCCGGGGCGCCCCCGGGGGGCTGCTGGTGCTGGGCTCTGCCAACGTGGACGAGAGGTGCGTGTGCCCGCGGGCGTGGCCAGGGGCCCGGGCACCCGGCTCTGGGGGCAGGTGCCGCCCAGCGGTGCGCCCACTGCCTCTGCCCACTCTGAAGTGCACGGCGGGGAGGGGGGGCCGAGTCCTGGCCCCACGGCCCCGGAGAGGCCGGGCCCCCACGCAGGGGGGCTGCAGCCCTCGGGGCGGCCGCACGGACCCCCATTCTCCCGCGCAGCCTCCTGGGCTACCTGACCAAGTACGACTGCTCCAGCGCCGACATCAACCCCATCGGCAGCATCAGCAAGACGGACCTGCGCGCCTTCGTCCAGTTCTACGCCGAGCGCTGCCAGCTGCCCGCCCTGCAGCGGTGGGTCCCCCCGCCCGGGCTCGAACCCGGAGCCGGGCACCTATCCCCCGTGGCCCCAGCCTTCTTGTCTCTCCGCCGCCCAATCAGGCACCGGCCGTCTGGTCCCCACCCCCCGCCCCCACCCCCTGCGCTCTGTCCCTCCGTCCGTCCCTCCGTCCAGCTGAGAGGGGAGCCTGGCGGTACCGTTGACCTGTTGGCGTCCGGCCGCCCTGACGCTCCTGTGTCTTGTCCCAGCATCCTGGCCGCCCCGGCCACCGCCGAGCTGGAGCCCCTGGCCGACGGACAGGTGTCCCAGACGGACGAGGTAACGTGTGACCTCCGTGTCCTCTGTGGTCACGCCCATCTCCTGCCTCCCTGCCTCTCCGGCCTCGGCCTCCCCTGACGCCACGCGGCCGCCCCCCCCCCCCCCCCCCCCGTCTCCGACGAGGACCCTCCTGGGTTAGGGTCCACCTCAGACCCAGGCATCTCCCCCGAGATGCTCCATTGCAGCTGCAGGACTCTCTGAAATAAACTCACCGTGTGCAGGCCCTGGGCGCAGGGTGAGGGGCCCCAGCGCCAGCCTCCACGCCACACGCCTGGCTCGTCCTTGTTAACTTTTACTTTTAAAAAGGTTTTTTTATTGATGTCAGAGAGGAAGAGGGGGAGAGGAGGAACATCAGTGAGGAGGGAGAATCATGGATCGGCTGCGTCCTGTACACGCCCCCCACTGGGGATGGAGCCCCCCACCCGGGCTTGTGCCCCGACCGAAATCAAACCCAGGCCCCTCCAGCCAACACTCTACCTGCTGAGCTCAACTGGCGAGGGCGTCTTTTAATTTTCAGAATTAATTGGAGAGGGAGGAGGAGGGAGGAGGAGGGGAGAGGGAAGCGGGTTTGTGTTCCACTCTAAGTGTTCACTGGTTGACTCCGTGCGTGCCCTGATGGGGGAAGGAACCACAACCGTGGCGCATGGGGCCTTCGTCCAACCACCGAGCCCCCGGCCCGTCCTGCTTCCTGACAGTGGCCTCCTCCTCGGCCCGTCGGCGTCGGACCGAGGCCTGGGCGCGCCTAGGCTGGGGAGCCCCGCCCGGCCCGGCGCCTGACCCTGCCCCGCCCGCGCCCGTGTAGGAGGACATGGGGATGACGTACGCCGAGCTGTCGGTCTATGGGAGGCTCCGGAAGATCGCCAAGGCCGGCCCCTTCAGCATGTTCTGCAAACTCCTCCACCTGGGGAGGGACGCCTGCACCCCCCGGCAGGTGGGAGCGCGGGCCGCGGTCGGAGGTCGCCGCTTTCGGCCTGTTGCCGGCCTCGTCCGGCCGCAGCCCCAAACCCCGTTCCCCAGCCCCCGGGCAGCCGGGGGCCGGGCTCCGGCACCGCTCAGGGCCCCGCCTGCCGTGGGAGCCGCGGTGACGGCTCAGCCCGCCCGCCGGCCCAGGGGAGTGCCGGTGTGTGGGAGTGTGGGGGGGAGTGTGGGGGGGGAGTGTGGGGGGGAGTGAGAGTGGGGGGGAGAGAGTGGGGGGGAGAGAGTGGGGGGGAGAGAGTGGGGGGGAGAGAGTGGGGGGGAGAGAGTGGGGGGGAGAGAGTGGGGGGGAGAGAGTGGGGGAGTGTGTGGGAGTGGGAGTGGGTGGGGGTGTGGGTGTGAGGGGGTGTGTGTGTGTGTACCTGGTGTGAATTGTGAGTGTGTGTACCCTGTGAGCTTGTGTCCATGGATGTGTGTACATCCCATGTGATGTGAGGGTGAGGGTGAGGGTGAGGGTGTGGGTGTGGGTGGGTGTAGGTGTGTGTGCATGCGCGGCAGGCAGCAGGACGGCAGCGGGCGCCGCCGGGTGACGCGCTGGCCCGGCCTCCCGCCCGCCAGGTGGCCGACAAGGTGAGGCGCTTCTTCTCCAAGTACGCCGTGAACCGGCACAAGATGACCACGCTCACGCCCGCCTACCACGCCGAGAGCTACAGCCCCGACGACAGCAGGTTCGACCTGCGGCCCTTCCTCTACCACGTGGGCTGGCCCTGGCAGTTCCGCTGCATCGAGAGCCAGGTGAGCGCCGGCGGGCCCGGCCGGCACCACGGCCGCCTCGGAGCCGGCGAGGCCCAGGGCCGGCACCACAGCCGCCTCGGAGCCGGCGAGGCCCGGCCGGCACTCTGCCCCCTCGGAGCCGCCGAGGCCCGGGGCCTGGCACCACAGCCACCTCGGAGCCGCCGAGGCCCAGGCCCGGCACTCTGCCGCCTCGGAGCCGCCGAGGCCCGGGCCCGGCGCCGGCGTCCGCACGGGCAGGCGCGGTCCCGGCTGCTGAGGTTCCCGGCGTCGCGGCCCCCGAGTGAGCGGCCGGCCCTCCTCCAGGTGCTGCAGCTGGAGCGGCGGGAGCGGCAGGAGCTGGACGGCGTGGACTGACTGGCACGGCCGGCGTGGAGGGCCCCTCGCTGCCAGGAGCCCACGGGCACGGCCGCCGCCGGTGACCTTAAGCGGGAGCCCAGCCCTCCCTGCCCCGGGCGGGGAGTGTCAGCAAGTCTCGCTTCACTGGAGAGGGGTCTGTTCCTTAAAATTTTTTAAAATAAAAAGGCTGAATAAAGAGAAGGCGTTTCTAGCCCCTGACGTGAGTGCTCTCCCGGCCTCTGTCCTCGCCCCTGCACGGCCCCGGCCCCCGTGGACCAGGACGGGAGGAGGCGGCCGGGCAGGGCCCCGTGGTGCTCCCCGCGGCCCCTCCGCCGCCTCCCCTCGCTGCTGACCCGGCTCCGAGTCCGTTCTGAAGGGGCCGCTCTCCCTCACGGTTCCTTGGCCGCCACCACGTCCGTCCGAGCTCGGGGACCTGCCCGGGACAGACGCCGTCCTCTGGTCTGGCCGCGACGCAGACGGGCGCGGGGGAAGGGCAGGCGGTTCGGACACAGTGAAAACCCCGCTGCCCTGACCGGGCTGGGGCTACACGGCTAGAGGTGTGCCCCCAGCACGGCCGGGTGAGCCTGGGGCTGGGGCGGTGAAGGACTAACGCAGACGAGAGAGAACACAGCTGGGGCTGGGGGGACGCTGCTCTCGGGCGGAGAGACAGCGCCAGGCCTGCAGGCCGAGTCTATTTTATAGCCGATGCCACGTGGCAAAGGAAGGGCGTGGTCGAGGTGTTTACAACGTCCTCTGGTTTCCAATCCACTCAATCCCATGCACCTGACCTCCACCCAGCCTTGTTTCGGCAGCACCTGCCGCACCTCCCGCAGCCCACACCCCTCAGCCACCTGGGACCACAGGTTCGGACCATCAGGTCAAGCTGACAGCCACAGCCGTTGGCTGTCATTGGGCTGCCAGGGCTCTGCCCTCCACGCTGGGACCTGCCCGTGGCTTTGCCACGAGAGCACCGTGCCCTCTCAGTCCGAGGCTTGAACCTGTCCAAACGCTGTAGGCGCTCTTCACACAGGCGGCCTGGCCAGTGTTGTTCAGCGGTTAGAACGTCTGCCTGCGGACGGAAGGGCCCGGGTTTGCTCCCTGGTCAGAGGCAGTCAAGGGCGGTCAAGGGCGGTCAAGGGCACGTATCTCCGTTGCAGCTCAATCCCTGGCCCCGGTTGGTGGACGCAGGAGGCAACCAATCAGTGTGTGTCTCTGTCTCCCTCCCTCCCTTCCGCGCTGTCTGAAAGTCATCGGGAAAAAGCATCCTCAGGTGAGGATTAACCAAAAACAACTAAATCAGGAGAGAACAGCTCTTCTCTCTCTGGAAGGAAGCAGCCGCCCCCCGGGCACCCACAGGCCTCCCTGTGGCCGGTGCCGGCCGCCGGGGCCCCGCGGAGGGGGGGGAGGCTGGCCGCTGCAGACCGCCCGGCTCCCCCGGCTCCCCCGGCTCCCCGCACCGGGCCGGTGACTCACTTCCCCGGAAAGCCTCCGGCTGCACGCCGGCTCTGGCCGGACGGCTCCCCTCGCACGGTCCCGGCCACAGAAGGGGAAGCGGGAGCCCCGTCTCCTTCCACGCGGTGACTCCCGCCGCCCGGGCCAGTGACAGCCTGGGCGGAGGAGGGCAGCCTGCACGCACGGGAGCCGCCGCCGGGGGCCCCGATCTTTCCCGGCGGGAACAAGGCCGCGGGCACCCAGAGGCCCGGGAGGGACCACGGCTCCTGCTGTGGGACCTGGGGGGACTGGCTGCGTGGGACCGAGAAGGCGTGGTCACTCCAGCCCGTGGGCCCTCGGCTCTGCCGACAATTGTGGCGCCTGCTCCTCCGTGTCCCCCGGGGGGCTGTGGGAAGAACCCCAGCGGGACCGGCGTTGCTGGCATCACGGGGACCGGTGCCAGGGCCACGCCAGCACCGTGTGATCGGTACCCGGGGCCTCGCCAGCCCCGTGCGATCGGTACCTGGGACCACGCCATTAATGTGTGATCGGGACCCGGGGCCAGGCCATCACCGTGTGATCGGCACCGGGGGCCACGCCATTAACGTGTGATCGGTACCCGGGGCCAGGCCAGCACCGTGTGATCGGCACCGGGGGCCACGCCATTAACGTGTGATCAGTACCTGGGGCCAGGCCATCACCGTGTGATCAGGACCCAGGGCCACGCCATTAATGTGTGATCGGCACGGGGGCCAGGCCATCACCGTGTGATCGGGACCCGGGGCCAGGCCATTAACGTGTGATCAGCACCGGGGGCCAGGCCAGCACCGTGAGTGACCAGTGAGGACCGGTGTGAGGACCCGATGGCCAGGACGGGCTGTGGGGACACGGTCCTGGGGCACCTGCCGTCGGGACCGGCTGCTCGGGAGGCTGAGGCCCGGCGCCCGGCGCTGTGGGCCGAGAGAAGGGGCTGGTGCGAGCCGTGGGGACCGGGCGCCGGCTCTGCCTCGGCGGCAGTGTGGCTGCCAGCCGCCCAGCGGCCTCTCGGGACCGGCATCCCGGTACAGCGGGGATCGCTGGCGGCGCTCCGAGGCCGGGTGCGGGGCCGAGGGCGAGGACGCTGCCAGTAACCCGGTGCGGCTCCTGGCCTGGCTGGGCCGGGGGCCACGCGGCAGCTAATGGGGCCGCCCAGACCTCCCCCAGCTGCTCGGGGGAAATGTCCGACCCACGGAGACACTGGGCCAGCGCCCGGCTCCGGGGCTCTGGGGCCGAGTGTCCGCCCAGGAGCCGGGAGGCTCCAGTTCGAGTCCGGCAGTGGGGCTGCAGGAGGCAGCCGGTCAGGGATTCTCCCTCATCACTGATGCTCTCCCTCCCTCCCTGAAAGCAATAAATATGTTAAAAGAGAGAGAGGAGCTCAAACCACCCGGCACAGGCCCCGCTGCAGGCGCTGCTGGCTGAGCCCCGCCCCCCGCTAACATCCACCGGCCCGGCCTGCGGGGGTGGGTGGGATCAGTCTCGGACCCCAGCGCCTGGTCGGGCTCAGGCCCAGGCCCACGCGTGTGCAGGGCTGCGGGCAGCCCCAAGCTGCTCCTGCCTCTTACGGCCTCTGCGGGGAGCCCAGCCTGGGAACCCCACTCTTATCAGCAGGAAACCGCGCAGACGCGCCCGAGTGACCGAGGCGCCAGACGCCGCCAGACGCCGCCTGGGTCTGCCCCAGACCAGACCGGCTCGGGGGTGAGGGGTCAGGCGGCCAGCATGGGGCTCATGACCAGACCAGCCTCGTCCAGGTGGGAGCGGGTCCGAGGGTCAGCCCCTCTTCTGCCCTGTCTCACTTCACCCCCTCCCTCTGCCCCACCCGCCCCAGGCTGCAGCCCACACCCCCATTCTGCCCGGCTCACACGCACCCGCCCTGGCACCCACCGCCCGGGGCACCCACCACCGGCCCCGGCAGAGCCTTTAGCCGCAGAGGGTGCTGGGCGCAGCCGTCCTCACCTGCCTGCGAGGACACCTGGCCTCCCCTCGGGCCCACGTGGCCCCGCCCCTCGGGCCTCACGTGGCTCCTGCCCCTCGGGCCTCACGTGGCCCCCTCCCCTCGGGCTCACGTGGCCCCCGCCCCTCGGGCCTCACGTGGCCCCCTCTCCTCGGGCCTCACGTGGCCTCTTCCCCTCGGGCCCACGTGGCCCCGCCCCTCGGGCCTCACGTGGCTCCTGCCCCTCAAGCCTCACGTGGCTCCTGCCCCTCGGGCCTCATGTGGCCCCCGCCCCTCGGGCGTCACGTGGCCCCCGCCCCTCGGGCCCACGTGGCCCCCTCTCCTCGGGCCCACGTGGCCCCCGCCCCTCGGGCCCACGTGGCCGCCTCCCCTCAAGCCTCACGTGGCCCCCGCCCCTCGGGCCCATGTGGCCCCCGCCCCTCGGGCGTCACGTGGCCCCCGCCCCTCGGGCCCATGTGGCCGCCTCCCCTCACGTGGCTCCCAATCGGGGCAGGAAGGAGGCTCTGCCAGGCCGGAGGCAGAGCCCACCCCAAACCCCATGTCCCTGTAGGACCCGGAGGCCGGGGCAGGACCGGGAGCCAGGGCAGGACGGGGAGCCGGGCGGGGCAGGACGGGAGCCGGGTGGGGCAGGACCGGGCGCTGGGCGGGGCAGGACCGGCGGCACAGGGTCCCAGGAGGCCCTCGGGGACCTGCGGGTGCGGCCAGGCTGGCGCCCTGGCTGCTGAGCTGAGAACCAGGAGGAACATGGCGGCTCTCGCCCAGAGCGCGGCCTGCCCGGACGGTGCCCGTCGCCCGCTGGTCACGGCCGGGACGGGGAGCGGAGGGCACGGCGCCCAGCGAGGGCCTGCGGACCAGCCTGTCGGCCCCGGGTGCCCCCGGACCACGCGCCCAGCAGTGACCGGACTCCGGCCTGCCGGATGGCACAGGGCATTCGGTCCCCGGGCCCCATGCGGGGGCCGGCTCTCAGCCCGGCGAGGGGTGAGGCGCGAGGGGTGAGGGTCAGAGGCCCTGCCATGCTGTCCCTGCCCCTCGTGGCTGGCCTGCACCCAGCGTCGGGCAGGTTGGGGTGCAGGGACCGGAGGGCCCGGCAGCGGCCCTGCAGGGGCGCCCCCCCCCCCCCGACAGATGGCCTCGATCACTCAGTTTGGGGAAACAGACTCAGAGGGGGAAGTGCCTCAAATTCCGCTCTCGGCGGACGTCACCCCCCCGAGCCCGGCGAGCCCGGCAGGAGCCAGGAGCCGCCGCGTCCCCGCCCGCAGGCTCCCAGCAAACCCTCGGCGACGGCTCCGAGGGTCCGAGGTCCCCGAGCCGCTCAGACCCGGAGCTGGCCGAGCAGGGCCCCGTCTGCTCCTGCGCCCCTCGCCTCGTGGGCAGACCCGGCCAGGACCTGCAGGAGCTCATCCTGCCCAGGGGGTGCACCCTCATGTCGGGTGGGGGTGTCCCCACGCCTCCCATCAGCCCCTGCAGCGGCTTCCCTGAGGAGCCCCAGAAACGCAGAGTCCTGGGGATCCCCACAGGAACGGAGCCCCCCCACCTGCTCCGATGGGGCCGGCGTTCTGTCTGCCGGGTCGGCCTGCCCCGCACCCTCCTGGGGCCC